TAGAAAATTATCAAATTTTATATTATCTATGTTGTCTCTGCGGGCTCGTATTATACAATTTTACTAAGAATTGACGATGAGAGGAAAAACAAATTCTGTGATACATGCATTGATAATACATCTAAATTTAATCCAAAAATATATAGGAATTATCGTATTCAATATTTCAATAACATCTGAACGAACTATACAATAACCGCAGTTGCGAATCGTTTTATTAAAAACTTAAATTACAATTCACTAAAGCGCATCCTAATATTTTATTTTTGTTTTCATATGACATATGGGTATAGTACAATGAAAGCTATGTACGTAACTATATTATAATTTGTAAGTTTAAAAGTTACTTACAGTTTTAATTTATTGTGCTGATGTAAATTATTTAAATCTAATGACAGTGTTGTTAAACCGTAATAATGCTATTCACACCTATAAAAATAAATATGTATTACCTTGAAACAGAAAAAAACGAAACCTCTCCTCTCTTGTCTCTCTCTATCACCATTATAACGAACTCCCGTGGCATACGATACTGTGATTATTTAATACTATATCAATGAATATCGTAGGTATTTGCGTGAAACTATTCCAATACGCAGCCGAGCAGATACCTACACAATGTTATTACTTATTTGTTTGTTTTAATCAAAAAATAATAAAATAACCGGCCGAAGTCTGCGTCTGCATAAATGCATAATGGTATATTATATGTAGTACCTATACGGCTATACCATTGATATATATGTATTTAATCAATGCCTATACGTACCAGGACGACGTGTCATCTACCGGAGAATGAATTCTCGCGGGTTTGTCGGAATTCTTCGCGGTCTGAGAATTTATGCGCCGAGCGTCCGGTCCTTCGTTCGGCGTGTTTGTTGCGCACTTGTATATAATAATAATAATAATAGGTAGTCGGTACCTATGCAGTAACGTCGGTCCGGAGTCGTTTTGTTCTACTTATTGCACAACCCCATATTTTTTATGTAACGGAACGAGAAAAAATTTTCTCTTGGACGAAAGTTTGAGAGCAGTTGCGAATATTCCTGTAATATTATATTATATTATATCGCCCAATAAAATATTATTGCGATTTGCAATAGAAGAGATTCGTGGTAAATAGTATGTTAAAAACTATTATAATAGTAGCAATTACGAATTACACTATTGTTTATGGAGAGTATTGAATATAATAATATATCTAAAAGCACAGTATAACAAGGTATAGGTACGTGCTTCTGCAGCAAAGCCGTTCGAGATTATACATACAGCCATACAGGTTATAATATTATTACCTATACCTAAATTTACGTGCACACTTCAGATCTTTAATAGATAATAATTTATTATTATTAAAATAATGCTATACATATTATTATATTAATATATAGGTACGTATATTATACATAGCCGGTATACGCATGTAATCCAAATGTGTTCGGCCGCCTTCGCCGCTCCGTCACGACCCGCCGACGCCGCCGCCACCGTATATTATAATATTGTGTGTATAATATAAATACTTATTATAATAATAATATAATAGCGTATAACATTATTGTCCCGCCTTCGGCCCAATCACGACGCGCGTGCGCACTCCTCCAAGGGGCTAAGGGGGATTATAATATTTATTGTCACGGACCTGCCGCCGCCACCGTTGTCGTAATTAAATCTCTCCCGCACGCACACTCATACAAATAATAAATTTCGAGTAATTAATATCGTCGTCGACACAACGCCCGCCGCGGCTTGTAAATTTCTCTCATTTTATTTCCCTATGGCCCACGTGTGTCGCTGTCCCAGTCCTATACATTGTACGTACTACGTGTATTATATCTATAATATCGATGAAAAAATTATAATAATTTATATCGTTATACAGAGTAGATCCGTTGATCGTGAACCGAGCAACATCTTAGAATATCACATATAATAATGGGATAAATTAATTATTATTTTTTTTTACCCGAAGCACATTAATTATTATGTCATATTTTACATTTGTCTACAATTATCAATATTCATATTGATATTCTTGTTTTTAAACGCAATAGTAGGTACTCGCTGTACTTTCTATATGGTATTGCACCTGGTCGACGACAAAAGAATCACCCTGTAAACCACATAATTTATAGTATACGGACAAAAATAAAACCGCTATGCCCCCGTGTGATAACTACGTTACAATAATAATAATATATAATATTATGTATATACCTGTAGTTGTGGTCCGTATAAAGCACGACCTGCTCTATTCCATCTCGGATATAATATATGTATAATGTATATATGTATATAAATAAAATACATCTCTGGCCGTGTATAATAATAATAATAATAATATATATATGTATCGTGTTTATAATAATAACGTACTGCCCATAGGGTTCGGACCGTTCGTTTCAACACACGCGACCGACCGTATTAACCCGTTGACCTAATATCGTGGGCATAATAATATTATAGATATATCTACGGATTTCGTCAACTCTTTTGTGCGAGTTTTTTATATCATATTATATGTTTTCGCGACGCAACTCGTACGCGACTACGACGGGTTCTTCACACCCGCGAAGGTGCAGCAACAACGAAAACATTCAATAACAAAAACAAAATCAATACTATATGATTATGATAATTTATTGATAAATGGTTAACATCATATGCATATTACGTGAGTGACGAGTAATATTATCGAACACTTTTGATATTAAATACACGTGACCGATTCGCGCTGCAGGTGTGTAGGCATATTATGTCTTATTGTCTTTACTGCATTGGCATATTGCTACTAGTTACTACTCGTATAATATTATATGCTGGGTGGTCGTCGACAGATTTATGAAGATTGAAGTGAGGTAAGTTTAACCTGAGATCGCCAATTTCTATGGTAAACCACGTCATTAAACTATGTTTCAAATGTTTAAGTGTTGAGCCTGCCACATTGTACTTATGATGATACACAACTATAAGTTTTGTTCCTAAAACATAGTTAGAAGACATTATATAAATAACCGGATTATACTGTAGAAATGTATTTTAAAAGTATTAATGATACCTATTTGTATAAAGTTAACTTAAAATTATTTATTATATTTAGAATTTTAATTTTTTAGGTACCTATCTAATGTTATTGCTAAATAATCGAATATTGCTTTCCCATTTGTCGTCCAAATAAAAAATAAAAATAAAAATAGAACGATTTACACTGCTGGCACTGCAGTCATAGGTTTACTTGATGATAAATATTACTTCGTGGTGAACAAAATCAATAAATAAGTACATACTCTATTATACGCTATTATATTGCCAATTGGTTGTCAAATTGTTATACATAAATATATTCACAATGACCCCTATGTACTTTGTACCAACTACTTCCGGTAGGCGGTAACAACATATTTCAGAATTTCAGATAGTAAAAAAATAATATAGTTTAATTAATAATGAATACATAATAATATATGTCTTGGAACATAACACCATATAGATTTAAAACAATTATGCATTTTCTATCACTTTTAATTATCTATCACTTCGTATTTTATAGTCATAACAATTTTTTTTTTTTTGGTCGACGGTGGTTTTATAATTGTTTTAACTCTTAATAAATATAATTTTTAATTTATTTCCTTATTATCGTATATCAATAATTATAGTGACATATGCTAAGTGTCCACGATCAATCAATATTAACATTTTTACCGTACAAAGTGACCGTGGTATTAAATAATAGACAGACGGACAGTATAGGTACAATAAGTTTCCATTTATGAAGTAACGGCGCTGTGCGGTAAAGGCTTGATTATATATTACATTGTATGTGCTACAGACAAAAATCGCAATAGTTTTTCCACGTAAGAACAAAAAAACTCGCATAATATTGTTTAGGCGAGACAGCACTTTGTATCTGTGTAGTGCACATATTATTATATGTATATTATAATGTTGATTGTTGAAGACCAACTAATTCTGTCCACTGGAACGAATTACTTGTAAATAAACTGGGTCTACATTGTATGTAGGATATGAAAATATACAATATATACCTACTATATATCATATTATATTATTGTGTGTAGCGTCTCTAACTTCATTAGGTACGATTATCGTCAGTTTTATCATAATGTAATTACTTTTTAACTATAATTATTGTCTTCAGACAATATAATAATATAGCGGCGTGCATTAACGACTATATACCTACGCTTCGGATAAAAATCACAATAGAACATAATATTGAGAATTATAATATTAATTAAAGACACGTCAACACCTATTTTATCTCTTATATATTATGCGCTTAACTCAAATATTATATTATAAATAAATATTATTATATACTACCTATATATTATACAGTTGTAGACAGTAAGAATAAGTGTACATAAGAAAGCATTAATGAAAAAAAGTCAATTATTGGAAACACAACCCTTCGAATGCCGCGTAAAACGTCTAAGTGAAAAATCTGAGTAGGTACTTATTTAAATATATGTCTATTGATTAATATTCATTTTACGTGTGTGTCAAGTTTTATAATAATCTGTCCAGTTTAGGCACATAAATATCAAAGGCAAGTCTACTAATAATAATATTTTACATCATAATATAACTTATATAAGTTATATAATATTTATGTATATTTAATATACCTTTTTTTTTTGCATGTGCTCCCCATAACCACGATTGGGGAACTTTTACTTCGGTAATCCTACACTCAAGTTGCTGAGTTCCGATTATTAACACTCAAAATACAATAATTATGATAAGGGATCCCGGTCGGCCAATCTCCCTACTTACGTAACCTCACACAGTAATAATTACAAGTTTCTGAGGGGCACTATCCCCTAAAATGTGCGCTTTGGGTCTCAATAATTTCCTTTTCTACTACTAGTATTTAATTTACTGCTGGTCTTTGTTGACGCTGTCGCTCTTCTTCTTCCCTGCTTGACAGAATGTACACTATGATATTGCTTATTTCTTCCCAGTGTTTTCTACTCCCATCATCTGGTTGACCGCCGTCTGAGAAGGAGTGTAATCAGCATTGATATCCCATATTCAGGATCATCGATTGGCGCTTGACAGTCGTGACACTCCTGGGTGTCCAGCTTCTTGAATTTGAACATATAGCTCCCAAAGCACCCATGACCCTTAAGAAACTGGGCGATGTGCAAGTTGACATCGCCGTATGATCTTATGATGTACGGTTGCATATTATTTATATAATGTATTCAGTATTGAAATATATGTTGGTAGATATATTATCCAGAGGGGGAGGCTTCCAGGGGTTTAGTTCCCCTTAGTGAAATTCTATGTACATCCGCGGCCCATCTGCAGACCGCTTTAAATAACATAAGCCCTTCCAAAAAAAAAAATTAAAACTCCACCAAATATCCACCTATGATGCGGTTGTGACTTGTGATTCGGTGTGAGTTTTTGTCATCATCTATTATATTACACATTTTATCCATAACGGCTTACGCAGGTCGCAAGATTTGGCCAAACCGATCTCGAGACCGTTACACAACGACACTTGCTCATTGTACATGCATTATACCTACCACTTTGTTGTTTTCCCACTCGTTGTTTGTGTACTAACTGATGGTCGGCGTACATCATCTACGTGGTGTCGCGGTATACAATTACAATATTTTCAGTAATGTACACGTTGAAGCGGATATATAATTATTGGTACGTACTATGTAGGTACCTACTACTGCGTGGCGTTAGAACAAATGACTGATATAATATAAATTAAGTTTTGCCCACGGCGCCAAAAACATGGTTCGTGACGAGCAAGATTTTGAATTTCTTATGGACCCGGGTTTTATAAAACCGGTTTAAACGGAATATACTGATATATATCGTCGAAAATGAACCACGCTCAACGGAATGAAAACAAAACAACAATAAAATACACATTAATGGGTATAGGTACATTAATATTTTAACAATAAAACAAATTTATTGCTGGTTGAAAATTGAAACTTTGCAAATTTCCATTAATATATACGTTGATTATAAACTATATAGTAAACGTTTTAGAAAATTGAAAATCCCTCGACAGCCGATTATATCAATATTTCAATGATAATAATTTAAATACCTACCGGGCTATATCGATATGGTATAGCATTATAGTGTATTAGTGTATGATAATGTAAAGTCATAAAGAATACGTAGGATATGATATTACACCACATGTTGCTGCTATTATATATGGTATTTCATTGATCCGCCGAAGAAGGCATAATATATATTATTATTTTTTATCGTTTCGTTCTGTATTTTGTTTTATCTTCTCATACACCGTATTATTATCAAATATCAATCTGTATAATACACAATATAAACATTAAAGTTATACAATCTTACCCGGCGTAATCCTCTATTGATATAATCGGAACTCGGAAGTATATAACATCCGAATATCGGGTAACGGCTTGAAAATGTTGAAGTGTTAAAATAATAACTATTAGGGGTTAGATGTATAGATACCAATTTTTAATTATGTAAGTATAATAATTAATAAGTTAATATAATTTATAAATAAATATAAATTGATTAAGAAAAATAAACTTTTTAAATTATTAGCTTTTATAGTTTATTACAATAAGTTGTAGTAGGTATGTGAAATGTTGTTTCATTGTTATTTCTTTAGTTATTGGAAAATATGAATAAGAATTTCTTTAATACATAATTATAAAACATGTGTACCTGAGCAGTATACCTGATAATTTTCAACAACCCAACATCTCTCTGACTAGCTCTCAACTAAGAAAACACCGAAGCATTTAAAGCAACCTAAAATTTTTCCACACCATATACATTTAAGAAAAAAATTGTGAGCAAGTATAAATATTTCATTCTAGTTTTTCATAATCTGTTTTTATCTCTGTGTTTAAACTTTAGGCTAATAACCAATGATGTTGAAGCTTTTACTTAAAATGAAAAAGATATAACCATGATCTTTTAAATCGTATTTATTAAATGTCAAGTCTGAACGAAATTTAAGTGAGATATCAGATAGGGGATTTACAAATGGTTCAAATTTCAGAAATTACAAGCTTGAACATCGGAAATTAAAACCTGAAAAGGCGATAACCCTTAGTTGAAACCAGTAAATTGCATTTCACATGGAATGCGTCCGCTCACGTCATATTAGGTACTTGAACGGCAGTAACTACATACCCACCCACCTAATATGTATAAATCCGAACATTAATATTATTAAAATTACACCGCGAGTAGGTCAATCGAACAAAATATAATACAATGAGTAACTACGAATCCGTCTCGGCCTCAGACATAATATTGTATACATAGAAATAGGACATAGGTAGTAGGTATAGGTACGCTTTTGTGTGGCACAATACATGGTACCTACTGCAGAAGCGGTGCTGTTCGCATAACATATTGTGGCGGCATCAGATCCGGCGTGGAAGTTGCCGGCAATAGATCGGCCATCATCGCAATAATACATATTATTATACACAACACGTTATACACACATAAAGGTACCTCTATGTGCATCTAGCAGGTATGTATAATATAATATTGTATCGTACGCGACTCGCGTTAAGTCGCGATGGGCAAAGAGAACACGTCGCCAACCCATCTCCGAGAAATCGTGCGCGCCGGCACATAATGATATCATTAATAACGCGGCGGCCGGGCGAATCAATGGCATCTGTAGCGGCCTCTAATCTCCCGGAAAGATTCTGAAAGGAGGGCATGTGGACCCGGCTATTATTTTTTTTTTATTCTTCTTCTCCTTTTTTTTTTTTTGTGGCGTTCGTTCGATTCGAATGCAATCTCTGATTGCCATCGAGGATAACGCTTACGCCGCGAGGACGTCATATACACACACACACACGCACACACACACACACACACACACACACACACACACACACACACACACACACACACACACACACACACACACATGCATTATATTATAACTGTACGGAGGAAGTATACTGCAGAAACAAAAGCGACTGAGGGTTCGGAAACGATTGATTGCGTGGTTAACGGGTGATCTCATAACACCGGTGGTGATCGAACTGCAATAATATTCTGTGTACTTATTTATATTATATAATATGAACACGCTCGGGCGGGCAGGTTCGATATATTATTAATATTCTTCATCCGTCGAGAACTCGAGAATAAACGCTCGTGTGCGTATAAGTGGAAGAATAATCCGGATAGATGTGGAAGAAGTAGAAAAATTACTTATAAATCTATAAATATAATATGTGAATATTATTATAATACTATGATATGAAGCGCAGAAAATCATGTACTACGGAAAATAAGATGGACTGTAGCCGTGTGTTGGGTATTATTGGTATTAAATATTTTATATTTTACATACACATCATAATAACTGTAGTCTGTAAGTAAATCATGATGTAAGGTCAAATTATTTCACTTGTTTTTATCGAACTGCGCTATTGAGACAGAAAAAAGTTAATGTTATGCTCAAAAATGGTACCTAATATTCGAATTACACTGGTTAGAATTATTAAATGAAGAATATTTATTAACGAATATCATCGGAAAAATAAATAGTATAGCAGTCGTTTGCCACCCGCAAGATCAGTTCGTGGGAAATGAGACATTTATTTTTCAGTTGAGATATTTATCACTTTCACCTAGAAATTTGCCAAGCTTAGTATGTATGTACCAACAATATTGTAAAAGAAAAATATTAAAATTATTTTTTCAGTCATTTTTGGTGGGGTGGGGGGGAGGGAGAGGCTTGTATGATAATACGTCATAACGTCTGAACGCCGTTAGGTTCAATGTACCTACAGATTTTCAATGACAGTTATTAGTAGATAATTATTTATAGATCCCGGTGAACATTAACAAATCATCCCGATGGCTGTAGAACACAGTGCAGATGATACCTTTTTGTAACTATACTAGACCCTGGATTTCTGTCTCAGCTACTATCAGTCCATTTCTTTACGACTTCACAAGTTTATGGTTACAATGTATTATATGTATTACTGAATCGGAATAAATAAAATCTGGCCTGGAACCTAAAAATATTGGTAATCGGTCAGATGGAATATTATTTTTCAAATGAAAACTGTATAAATATTAATTATATAGAGTTTTAAAATTATAAAACTTTCAGATTTTTAAATTTAAATTGTTTGTACCTATAGGACAGGTAGTAAAAATGTAATGCAAAACTGTATATTAGGTGGTATTGGTGGTGATACATTTCAAATTATTTTCTTTTTAATTCAACTCATTAATAATTATCACATTTACTTTGTTGTAAATAATTGTAATAATACTTTAATTATAAAAATATTTAATTTTTTTGAAACCTAACAATAATTCTAATTCTTAATAATGTATGTTTTTAATATTCGTTCCCCGGAACGATTTTATTTAAAAATATGTTGAAACTTGGAACCGAAGAGAAACAAAAAAAAAAATGACATGACACTGCAGTTTTCATCTTAAAATCATTATTTCAGATCAGAGGTAACTATAATATTATGATGTATAAAACATTCTATTCTATATTAGGTTTATATTTTATAATTACACATTATGTCAGAATATATTATATATATTATATAATAATATATTATCATTAAACTTTTCGTGTTAAACGATAATGTAAACCAGTGGCGTAAATTGGGTCCAATTTCTGGTGGTGCAGAGGCCTATTCTTAACCTATAATTTCCAACACAAAAATAATCCAACTTTCTAAGTAAAATCCTTCCTAACAAAAAAAAAACTATATATTTATCCATACATTTTGTCAACATTTGAACTTCAAATGCTTATAAAAAAAAATTGTGGCTATGTATTTTTAATATTTTTCAACGCTATTGTAACAATATATCAGGAGCCTTCCATTAAATTTTCACGCTTTTTACCCAACAAATAAAATTTTATTGATATTTATAGAAAAAAAAAACTAAAAAAATTAAAAAATGACAATGTCCGGAAACAGCTCAAAGAGAGTTAAAATATTTTCAAAACTTTGTGGTGTATAGAAAATTAAAATATAAATATATAAATTTTCATGTATTTACAGTTATTTGTTTGAATAACAACAAATTAACAAAATCGCTAAATGAGAAATCTAGTGAATATCCAATATTGTAAAAATATGATTTTCAAATGCTCATAAAAATTTAATTTGATTTACTTGTGGACATTTTTTTTTTGATAAAG